ATGCTGGATGACTTCAACGTGCCGCACACAGACCCGGGGGAGTTGTAGGATCTGAAGATAGGTCAATGCTCGTCGAGTGCTTGCTGTTAGCCTCTCTCAGGAAGATTTGCAGAAGGAAATCACCGAGGAGAAGGAAAACGACAAGTCCTACAAGGCCGCTGTGCCCGACGGGACTACAAGGAGTGTGTTGTCTCGAGTGATCTCGCATATGGTTTCAAGAGCCGTCCTACCTGGCAGACCAGGCGCTTATTGCTGCGAAGACAGCTGAAAAGAAAGTGCTGGAAGAGCAGATTGTGACAAAGACTCAGGAGGGGTTTCTTGCAGACATGATCTGGATCTGTTTAAATTGTGCCGCTGAATGAATTAATTGGTTGTTCCTTGGAGGCGCTCGCTTGTGGGGCCTTGGCGGTATGAAGGGGACTTGAGGGCTACTGCAGGTCATTGGTAATACTTGAATTTAGAAACTACGCTCTGCTCGGTGTTACCGACTGACTCCTGACCTGATTCCGCAGCTCGCAGAAGGCTGTACCATTGTCGTGTATTCCTCATTCTTGTAACTCACTCTCAGCCAACGTCTGCGCACTCCCTTTACTGCACCGGCCTATCGTTCTTCTTTGTCGCCGGGAACCTTGACAGCCTCGGGTCGACTGCCTGCGCAGGAGAAGTCTGATGCAGAAACCACGCTGGACTGGCGCTTGACGTTCTCATTGTGCCATAGGCCACAGTGTTGCAGCTGTGCCCACATGCCCTCAGGAAGCATCGAAGCAGGACATCAAGGCGACGACGAAGGCCATTGCAGCAGATGTGAAGTTCCTGGCTCGGCCGTGATGAGAGGTTTCAGCTGTGCTTATGACGGGTCACCGAACTGAGGTTTCAAGCCGCTGTGGAGAACCGGTGCACGACGTGACTCCACAGATTGACAGTTTTGTTTGTTCTGTGCCAAGGAGCAGAATTGTCAGGCTTGACCTTTTCCTGCCAGGAGCGATGACAAATTCAAAGAACGTGGGAAGCTCTGCCACTGCTGGCTTAGATAGGAAGCACACACCAGAGCGCCAGGCATGCAGAGCCGAATGCAGGAGATGACGGCAGTGTCCAAGACCATCCAGGTGGAACAAGTCATGCGAGAGCAAGCACTTGATGTCAAATCTAGCTTGGCAACTGTACCAGCGGAGCCAGGTCCTGCGCAGCAGATGCCTCAACCGAGGACTAGATGGCTCAGATCTCTCTGGAATCGTGAGCCTGGTGAGGTGAGGAATCGCGTGACTTGTTCGGGAAGACAGTTTCTTTCCTGCAACAGCCGCATCCACAGTGTCTTCATCACTTGATGCAGAGTTTAAACGATTCCCCGGGTTGCCATGGTGCCTGTTGCACGACTCTGAGGGCGGCACAGTCCAAGAGGGCAGAGCGAGCTGCCAGCAAAGTCAGTGACGCTTAGCTCAACACTTCGCAGAGTGAACCCGCTGCGAGTGGTATGTGGACAACCGCACGCTTACTCTGAGGCCTTCCTGATGGAGCAGGGTCGCAGGTGGGGTTTACTTCGCCGCTCAAGGGTTCGAGTTTCCGCGATGCGCGATCCGCACGGAGGTTGGGTGTTCAGAAGTTGGTCACCATGGGACTCCAGAGCAGGCAGGGCAGACAATGGCAGCACGTCGCATGAATCTGAACCCCTTCTGGCAGCATTGTCGTCAGGATAGATTCCTTCACGAAGGTCAAGGCAGCCATCGAAGAGATGTTCGACTCTTAGCACCCAGTACTGAGTACTGCGAGTACTCGGTGTGTTGTTGCCGTTTGCATCGTGTGAAGACGCTGTGCGGCTGTGCGGTTGTCTGTGGACAGAACTAGCTGACTGATTTGTCAGTGGATTCCGGATGCCGGTGTGTAGTGACTGACCAGAGCGAAAGGATTTGTACACATCGTTGTATTTCGGCCGTTTCCTTCCGCATCAGAAAGCTCGTCTCAAAGTACTGCACGCTCGGCTCTACTCGTTCCAACTATCTCATGCTAGGATCAGCCGCGGGTAGCATCAAAGCACGGACCAGAAAGACCTTCATTGGCTCCAACAGCTCCAAGGGTTACAGCTTTGCAGAAGGAGCAGGAAGATGAGATTAAGCCCGTGCCCCAGTGCTGTGTTGAGAGTCGCCACCTGCGAGTGAGGGACACATGCGCTGAATGCGAAAGGCACAAGGAGATGTGTGTGGACGACCTGAACCAAAACAAGCTAAACATCGAGGAGAAGGAGGGCTGCGCCCTCAGCCAAGACTTCGCCATGCAATCATTTGAGTCCAGTTTGCGACCTCCAGGTGTAAAGAGCCGAGCCGAAGACAAAGTGAATGCCGGAGCCCGAAAGTCCGGAAGAGATCGGAAGAGTCGCTTCTGGTTGTGATACCATCTGAGGCCTTGAAGAAGAGGGTGAGTGATTGTGAAGCACAGATCGACAGCTTGAACGGAGAGGCCAGACGCCTCAGGAAGTTCAACGAGGGCAGGTAAAAAACACACGCACATACTACACACCGCACAAACGTGGCTTTAATTGACGTGCAGATCGCAGAGATGCAGAAGCAAGTGCAGCTGGCCAGCCAGTCCAGACAGTTCCTGTGACGCATTGGGTCCCGCCTCCTCCGTGCTTGGCCCGTTACAGTCATCCGAGGAAAGAGAACGTGAAGTGATCTCCCAAGCGGTTTCTGATCTGTGACATGTGACTAACATGTGACATGTGTGGATGCACCCGCAGCCAGGTTTCAAACCGAAGCTGATGACCAGTGCACAGCCTGCACAGCTTGAGCGGAGACCAAGATTCGGCAGAGTTTGACCAGCTGGAGACTGAGGAGGCAGACGCAGGTTGTCCTGAAGAAGGCGGTGAAGGCGCACTGAGCTGGAGCTGGAGGAAAAGGCGGAAAGCACGACTGTGACTGAGTTTCTGGACGACTTCTACCGTTCAGCAGAGAGGCCGTGCTTTGAGAGTCAGGCCTCGCTTGAAGCGTCCGAGTTTGAGCGCCTATCCAAGCTTGTCTCAGGGCTTCGCTGGCTCAGATCCGAGCTCACAGAGTTGACGAGGCTAACGTAGACACATTTCTGGAGTGCTGGATCTTCCTGGAGCCGACTCCAGACGCGGCAGGTGCAACCGGACCTCGACAGCCCGGAAGGCTTTGAGGAGCAACGGATCCTACGTAGTCGAAGCGAAGATCCCAGGCAAAACCTGAAAGAGCTATCGTAGAAATTGCATGCGCCAATCATCAAATGCTACTCGGAGACGACATACCTCCTCAAATCCGAAGATGGAGGCAACGAGTGAACCAGTCCCCTCCATACCGACACTCCTCGCATTCTGGTCCGTTGATAGATCTGGGTCCGGAAGTTTACCACACATGGCTCAGTCACTGGAAGGTCAGGTGATTTTCAATTTTGTGTGAGCGTACCGTCGTCGTCCAATTGAAAAGCATGCAATTGAAAAGCGTGACTTCGCCGGCTGCTGCAGACGGGTGTCTTGCCATGGAGGAAAGTCTACGTCAGCAACACTGTAGAATTGCATGGGCAACCATTGCATGGACAACCTGCGACTGAAACTGATATGGTACCAATGTCAATGAAGTTCTCTTCCAGAACTCCATTGCCTGCGAGCGAGGAAACTTGCTCCCGAACCCAGAGAACATCAACAATCATCAGCAGGCACAGCTGGTGGAAACAAAAGACAACGTCGTCAGCACAATCCAAGGCCGAGACTCGCCAGTAGAGCTATGTGAGCTGTGATGCTCACACTACACCCTCGAAGGTGGGACGATGCTGTCGAATGATGCTAGGACCCAGGGCGGCTGCTGCGACATATACTGCATTTCTTTCTTGCACATCGAAGGTTTGCCCTTACTAACACTTCCCATGCAATCTGCAAAGGATGTGGAGATGCACTGAGTTTCAGTGAGACGTTTGCCGCGGTTGTCGCACCCGACAGTTTACGTGGCAGCCGGGAAGCCTCGAAGGTTCTTCGAATCTTGTGTGGTTCTCGTCTCGGCCGACATGCCAGATGCCTTTTGATGACACGCGCGTGGCTGATATGCACCCATATTCTCTGTGGAATGTTCACGCCTGAAACAGCTCTCGAGTCCGCGTGTGTCCATCTTAGAATCTCTCCCGCGGTTTGATTGACGTGTTGAGAAAGCCTTTGCATTTGAGATGTCGTCCTCTTCGTTCATGGGGACAAGAAGTGCACGCATCAGCCCTCATCCCAATGGACCGAACTTTTGTTGCCGCAGGACTACAAGAAGAATGCCGGGGGTGCAGGCGACTGGACCTCAGCCAAAAGAAGTTGGTTGTTGGTTATTGCCGGTGGCCAAGCTGAGTCGGGCTTAGTCTGAGGCTATGGGACTGATTGAGACCATCATCGCGGACTCCGCAAAGCTGGAGGTTTCCACTTATCGCTGCGTGCAGAGACCTGCCGTTCTCGAACATGTGGCAATCGAAAGGCCGAAGCCGTTGAAGCTGAGCAAGATGCGCAATCGTCGTCTCATACTGAGTGCTGGAATCGGTGGATGTGCTGAGATGGGACATTTTGATCGACAGCAAGGGACCACCTGCTGCCATGCACCTGGAAGCCCAAACCTCGCGGTCTTGGGCAGGTACGAGAAGTTTGTGGCCGAAACCGCGGAAAATATTAAGGCCGGGTGAGTTTGATTCAGCCGATGGCATCCACGGACATGTGCAGCAAGGCAAAGACAGCACAAGTTGACGGCAAGACGAAGGAGAAGGCCTTGGTCACACATCTCCAGCATGGCATGCGGTAAACTCTCCTTGGGCGAAGCCTTCGCCACAAGTTGCCCCTCATTGTGACATCCAAGCCTGGATAGCAGGCAGACGCAAAGAATGATAAGGCAGAGGCCGGTTGCGACGGCAGTGCAATTCAAGATTCGGAGATTCTTGACCTCATGCTGCAAGCAGCCCGCAAATGCTTGGTATTTCGTTCCGCATCTTTCCGCTGCACGCGGCCCAAGCCTTACGCTGTGTGCCATGGATCAGCGCGGACCAGCTGCGGGGTACGCGACAGCCGGACCAAGCCCAGGCTGGACCCCAGTGTTCCAATCACTTTTTAATGAGAGCAAGACGTCTGATCTTTGCTCTGCCTCGTCTTCGAATCATGAATCTTCAGAGGCCCCCTTTTTTGTGTGCGATTGAGCTGGAAGCAGGCTGCGAGGTCACCTTCTCGGTCCGTGCCGAGACGAGCTTTGGAGACCGGATCGTGCCACTTGGCGTGGCCTTTGTGCTCATGCGGCGCCCTTTCGATTTTTCGCGCCTTAATGAACAGCTAGTAGCCCACGGCATGTACAGTACGAACGATGTTCTGTTCTGTTCTGTCGTTCTGTCAAGAATGTTCCGTGCGCTAGCTCTTCAGGAGCTTGCGGCTGTTGTCTTTGTTCATATGGTTGCTGGGTCGGCGAAGAATGTCACGGCCGTATGATTGTTGCTAATTTCGCTGTTCGTTGTGTGCTGCTGGAATTAGCAATCACGAAGCGATCATGATGACCGTTTGCAGGAAGCTGGGCATGAGCCTTGCCAGACTGAGGCTTGTTGGAAGTGGAGATGCACTGGGAAACTGGAATCCCTGGGACGGCAGCATTGAGCTCACAACAACGGAAAAGGTCTCTGGGCAGAAGCAATATCCGACAGCCTCTCTTTCGACCTTAGTGGAGCTTTCGGTGGGCTGCTCAGGATTACCCGCTGTGGAAGTCCATTCCGCTAAAGCTCGGAAGTAGTGGGGTAGAATACAAATACGACGCTTGTTTGCATTTGCTTCAAGCGAGTTTGAGACAGTCTTTTACCTGCTTGCCATCTTTGCCATCTTGCCCGACATGACCAATGAAGGTGCGCCTTAAGGGTGACGGGGAGGCAGTCTGGGTGTCCAGGCTGCAGTCTAGACAGTCTAAGTCTAGAGTCTAAGGTTAAACATCGTGTTGCATTCAGGCAAAAGGCTTATGGCTTATTGAGAGCAATGTGCATGTAGTGTCACTTGCCACTGACTGTAGTCGCATCCCATGGACAGGATGCACAGCGTTCATCATGCGTGCAGACTTGAATGGC